CCTCGCGTGGCTGAGCCTCTCGGGCCAGCAGGAGCTGCTGCGGCTGGTGCGGCCGCCCTACTCGTACTCGGCGCTCATCGCCATGGCCATCCAGAGCGCGCCGCTGCGGAAGCTGACCCTCAGCCAGATCTACCAGTACGTGGCCGGCAACTTCCCCTTCTACAAGCGCAGCAAGGCAGGCTGGCAGAACTCCATCCGCCACAACCTGTCGCTCAACGACTGCTTCAAGAAGGTGCCCCGCGAGGAGGACGACCCAGGTGAAAAGGGCGCGCCCGGTTGCCCCGTCCAGGACTCCGCGGATTCCCGCAGCCCGGCTGCTGGCACTCTAGGACTCGGGGCGGCCTGGGGCAACCCAGCCCCTCCCGCACTGCACAGCTCGGGGTACTGAGGCGGGAGGAGAGGGAGGAGGAGAGACGTGCTGGGCAGCGGCCAGGCCCCGAGACGACCCAGGGACCCGCAGACCCTGATTTCAGGTCTAGGACTCTGTGAGTCTCGAAATCTCTGTGCGCTCCCGCGGAGGAAGAACCGGGAGAGCGGGTCAGCTGGGCGACCTTTGGGGTTACTTCTCTGGGCTTCAGTGTCCTTTGCTGTAAAACGGGGAGGACAGTGGCTACCCCAAGAACCGGTAAAGCCAGTGAGATGCCGCTTCGAGAAGCGCAGGAGACAACCCAGAGGCCAAGCACGGTCCGCTGGGCTCCACTGGCAGCGTGACTGCCACAGTCCAGGTGGCTGTGCATCCCGTAGGCTTTCTCCCTGGCCTTGAACTTAGAGGGGCTCGGTATTCTTGGTTGTTGCCCTTCCCCGGCCTTTCTGGGATGTCCACATTCTTCCCGGTCTGGCTGTGGAGGCCCTCCCAGGTACAAACTTCAAGGTTTAGGGTGGGAGTGAGGACTAATGGCGGGACCGGTGGGGGAATCTTCTTGAAGTTGACCTCCATTCGTCATGTTCACACCATGGTCGGTCAAACCCCATATTCTTTGAGCTGAGCCCTCTCTTCTTGCGCAGGCAAAGGCAATTACTGGACCCTGGACCCAAACTGCGAGAAGATGTTCGACAACGGGAACTTCCGACGGAAGAGGAAGAGGAGAGGAGAGGTGGGCGCCGCTGCTCCCTCGGGAGCCAGGAGCCCGGGAGGAGCCAAGGCACCCGAGCTGGAGCCCCTTGGCGCGGCCGCCCCGGACCTGCAGGCCCCGCCGTCCCCGCCGGCGCCCGACGCCGCCGCCTGCTTCTCCAGTTTCACCTCGGCCATGGGGGCCCTGGCTGGCGGCCTCGGGACCTTCCCCGCGGGCCTGGCGGGGGACTTTTCTTTCGGGAGACCGACGACGGTCGCCGCCCAAGGGCCCCAGGCCCCAGGCCCCGCACCCGGCTTCGGCGCTAGCCATCAGAGGGCGGCCACCGGCTTCCGCGTGGGCCACTTCCTCTACAGTCGGGAAGGGACCGAAGTTTGAGGGGAGGCGGGGATTGTCCCAAGTGCTGTCCAGAGGTACTGAGCTCCAGCCCGGATTCTCGCCTGCTCGGCGCCACAGAGTCGGTGGAGTGGAGGGAGCGCAGAGCCCTCCGGAGTCGCTGCACAGAACTGACTGAGTTGAGCGCGTCTCAGCCCCCCGCCCCCCGTGGCCCACCTGTCCTGCCTCACCCAGGTGACCATTCATATGGAGCCAATGGGCCGCTCCCTGCACCACCGGTTTTTCCAGTTCCTCTGGACCTTGGACCTATGCTCTGCCCGGATCCGCCTTCAAGGGGTGACAGGCTGGCACCCAGACCCAGCTTTTTCGAGGGGAGCCTGGCCTATTCCAAAAAGACTTCTAGGGGCTTGTGAGAGGGCAGCCCGCGTGCTACCCGCCGCCCATTTCCTCCTCCAGCCCAGCCTGGTCCACCTGGAGGCTCAGGGTCTTCCCTCGGTGCTCTAGGGAAGTCCCAGGGGGGTCAGCGGCAGCCCCATGGGGCCAGGTAGCTTGTCTTCACCCTCACCGGGAGTGTGGCGCCGAGGGGGACCTGGGACTCCAGGGACTGGGACTGGAACGGGTGTAGGAGGGACTTTCTTGTGGCTGCAGATGCTGGTGATAGAAGGAAGGAGGGCTGCCAGAGGCCAGGGGATAGCAGCTCCTTTCCCTGTTGGTGCCTGGCCCTATTGACCTTGTCCTAGGACCAGGTGCCTCAGGGAACCACAGGAGCAGGGCCTGGCACCCCAGAGTCACAGGATGGGCTCCGGTTTGCTCCCCACCCCATTCACACTCACACCCTGTGCACTCTTGCTCCTTAACCCCCAGTTTGGGCCCAAGCTGCCCCTTGCATGCAGAGGGAAGCAGCAGGTTCCTGTGTCCATGTAAGCCCTCCCTCTTAGTTTGTATTTACCCAGAAGGTTCCCTTTGGAGTCCACAGCCATCGGGAGGAGAAAGTTCGGCCCTGGTACCAAACTTAGGCCCTCTCCAAGTTTCTGGTGGCTTAGGGGCACCAGTCATTTCAGGGTGCTTGGTGGGCTCACCCTCTTTCCCTGTACCCAGGGACTCCAGAGAGGCTCCTTCTCTGGAAGAGCACAGGGAGAGAAGAGTTAACCTGGGGGGGAGCAGTGGGCAGATTAGCGAGCCAGCCAGAACCCCAGCCTCCACTAGCCAGGGCCACCGTGAGGGCAGCTTTTCCATGCCTAATTTAGAATCCCAGTGCTGGTGCTGGAAAGGAATGGTTGACCTTGTGTCTGTTCCTCGGAGCTGACCAGCAGCAGTCCTGATGAACAGTGGGGTGTGTGTGTGTGAGAGAGAGAGAAGAGGAGAGAAGAGGTGAGCGGCTGGAGACATGGATAGGGCAAACCAAGAGTTGGGGTGAATTTGGACCCTGGGGCATGTGTCACTGAGGCTTCCAGGTGGCAGCCACAAACTTGCTCACTTCTCAACATCGCAAGACATCTCACTGCTACTGACCCGCAGGAAGAAGGTAAGCAGCGGGCTAGTTCTGTTTGTGATACAATGTTGCCCAGCCAGACTTACAGCCAAGGCAAAATCTCTTTTGGAGAAACACTCCCCAAATGTAATATGATTAAAGAAGGCCAGAAAAGAGAAAGAAAATCCTTACCTTACAAACAAAAGAACTTTATCTCAAGCCTATTTTAATAAACTACGATGCTAAAAAGAAATAGCAATATATGGAACTTGAGTGTACACGCTGTTTTATACATGCACTATTCCCAGAATCCCCACCAGAGACTCTGAGTTTGCAGGAAACTTAGAAAGAGATTTTTTTTTAAAAAAAGTTTGACAACATTGGGAAAATGCAATGTACAATTTGACAATCAATGGAGCTTTCAGAAAATTGGCTGAGAAATACATATGTAAGCACTGGGTATCCTACCTAGCTGCGTGACTGCTAGAAATTGGGGCAAAGCTGGTCTTTTTCCTTCCAACAAACGGTTTTCTGTTTAAAATGAGGGGAAAAAAACCTTCAGAAATATTTTTCAGTTTTTGGTTCGTTTGACTCAAAATCAGTTTTTGGTCTTTGAAAATTGTTCATCTGTATTCAAGCTTTATACAATTAATAGGTCATTGTATAATCAAATAGATGGAATCTTTGTGAGAAATGCACAATTACAAATAATTCTAGCCCCGTGGGGCATTCAGAAATCAGAATCCACCTCTCCTTGGTGACAATCCAAGTATCTGGAGGTCTTTCACAAGGGGTGGGAGGTGGGGGTTGGTCAGCCCAAATGCAGTTTCCGGGCCTTGGCACAATCAGCTTGGGAGCCCCTTGTTACCCCAAAGAGGTGTTTTCCCAGAGAAAGGAAACTTGTACTGAAATCACAATAAATAAACAGAGCAGAGCAGGTTGTAGTCAGTTTATAATTAAATCCTTTCTTCTGTCAGGACTCATCGAACTTGATCATGGTTCTAAAAGCAAGCTGCCCCTGGGCCACTGAAGGGCCAACTCCTCTTCCTCAGATGGGGAGCTGCTGCCCGGAGGCCAGGAGAACCCCCTCACCTGGGGACTTGGGGTCCTATCGCGGTGCTCAGGCCCCATCTTCTCCACCTCTCTGCCCCTTCGGTCTTTAAAGTAAAGAAGCCTATGGAAAATTCCAAAATACTTAAAAAATAACTGTACTTTGCCAAAGAAGTACCTCTGCCTGATGTGGTGGGAACATGATGGAATGTCATTGGAATACGCTGCTCTTTGTCTGAATAAACATTTTGGTGCTAAATAGTTGCAAATATAGAAACAATGTGTCTCCAATTCAGAAGGGAAAGACAACTAAAATTACCAGGATATCAGGTTATTAGAATTCTTTCTGATGCTGGACAGCAGTGGAAATTTTCAGGTCATTGAAAACCAAAGAGTGTAATAATGTAATAAATTATAATCTCCCCCAGGAACATGTTAGTCCTGGGTGGAGAGGAATCCCCAGGCAAAGAACGATCCATGATGAAAACTCAAAAATATGTTAAAAGTATTTTTAAAAGTGTATGTAACTAGTGTTTTAAAAGGTGAGCACTGGATTTCAAGATACGAGCTTACATTTCACATATTGATTAAACATTGAGTACGTTTATTTATGACGGACAGAAGTCTTGCATTTTAACAATGCTGCCCTGGCAAATAAATGTTCAACTTTCAGTCTTTAATTTCCTAAGTGTATCCGCTGCAATCAAGTGGCAAAAGGAAATAACATTACAGTAATTATTATAACTCTTCAGTGAAGCGGGAAACTGAAGTTCATTGTCATTGTGCCGATAGAAAAGCTGAGCCAGTGGGCTAAGTGTTCTCCTGAAGCTCATCTAATGGGAGCTAGAAAGGACTCTTGATAGACATGCAATCTTCCTCTGGCCCATACTCAGAAACGCATCTTCATATGCACATATCCGCACACACAAACACCATCATAGTGCCACGCTGTGGCTAGGATTCGCAAGAGAAAAGCCATGGATCACAGCACTTATGCAAAGGCATAATATTTTCAACTAATACTGTGAGAATATCACATTTGCATTCAGGATTTGACTTCAGATGGGGAGGAACACGTACGAATATCACAGACTGCGGTAGGGGTCAAGTCGCATACATCCGAATAAAATGCAGTGCTTTGAATAAACTTTTACAGGTGCCAGACAGGTACCGTGCTTTGTGTTCATCCTTGCAGGGAATCACCCCGGCCCGTTGCTGCTTTCCCAGGACCTCCTTCCAGTGGGGGAGACAGAGATGAAGGAGCAATTACAGCCTGCATCTTGGTTATTTGGCTCCAAAATGATGACTTTGTGATCAAGTCAAAAAGCCATTTCATTTGCAAACACACAATTAGTGCATTTTGTCTTTAAATACACCTCACTGTGTTTGCCACACTCTGCTAACTCAGGATGTGTTTGTTTGATTTCTCGGTTTTATAACTTCACTGTGATTGAGGCCAGGAGTTGAGCCCTGCCCCAGGCTGGAACCGGTCCAGTCCACTCCTTTCTCTGCAGCATCATTCAGGAGCCTTAACATAAAACCTGTCCTCTTCCTAGAAGATCTACCGTCTGATAGTGACAAGAGACAGCAACTGTTGTGACCAGAGCTGGTCCTTCCTCAGGGCTCCTGGAGATGAATTTCTTTTGTGCATCCCTGCTTCCATTAGTTGAAATTTGGGAAACTCTGCCTCTTCTAATCTAATATAAAATATAACATTATTAATATAACATTATTATATAACATTATTCAAGGTAAATTGCCTGGCACCTGCAATAAATTGACTTCTTTCTTTGATCAGCTATCATTGGTGATGGAACACAAAGAACGTGCAATATCTTTAGTATCACTCAGCTCACAGAGGGTAAATGAAAAGTATATCAAATTGGATTTTCATTTAAAAAATCAGAATTGTACCCCTGTTTTAATATAGGGCAGATTGAACTGATGAATCATTAAGGCTTTCTCTACCCCTAAGAATCACCCAACCATCCATCAGACATCGATTGATCATCGAGGTGACAAGGACTTTGTTAACTGCTTAACGGACATTATCTCATGAGGCCCCCACAACCACCCAATGAGACAAGTATTATTATGTCCATTTTACTGATATGGAAACTGACCCATTAAGTGACTTATTTCCCAGAGGCTGCAGATAACACCGGGCAGAGTCATCAGGAACCTGCCTACCCTCTGCCCCTGACTTATCTGCCTATCACTTCATCCTTCAGGTTCCAGAAGGATCTCACTTTTCAAGAATCTTTCCCTGGCATCCAAAGTCAGAGTTAGGTGTCCTTCTGTTCTGCTCTTGCAGCTCCTGGATGGTCTGCATCACCATCACCCCTCCCACCCCGGATTATAATCTTTGTGGGGAGCAGCCTGCCTGCCAGTGTAGACATCCAGGTGGTAGCAGTTGAGTGAATAAATGAATGAATGAGTGAGTGAATGAGTATGTGAGTGGGTGTAGTTGTACCCTAAGCTTTCCATACACTCTCCTTCTCATCATAGGACCCCCCCACAC